GAAAGAAAGAAAGAAAGAGGAAGGAAGGAAGGAAGGAAGAAAGAAAAGAAATAATTATTTAACTTATTTATCCATTAGCCATCTGAGAGCTCTGAGAGACAGGGATTGGTGTCCCCAGCACCTAGACCTGTGGACACAGTAAGTGCCCTGTGATGGCATGACATGTATGAATGAATGATCGGAGAGAGGGTGACTTTGGCCCGGGAGGTTAGGGCAGACCTCCCTCGAGAAGTGACATTGAGCAGGAGCCTGACGGAGAAGGAGCTGGCCAGAGGGAGAGGTGAGGGAACAATGCTCCAGAAAGGGGGAACAGCAAGGCACCTCAGTGCCTGGCTCAGGACACACTCTTCTCAAATGTTACCTGTGGCAATTATGTGATCCTCACAAAGAGCCCATTTTACCCATGAAACAATAAAAGCTTAGAGAAGTTAAGAGACTTGAAGTTGTCAATATCCATCTCTAGGGGATACCAAGGTGGTGTGGTGGGTCTGGCCCAGACCTATGGGGGTCAGGGTGTGGAGAGGGTGGTGGACATGAATCAGAGAATCTCTGAGAACTTCCACCAGTGCCAGCCTTGGTGGGGGGGATCTGGGAGGACTTTGCAGGGGAGCAGATGCTGAGCTGAGACCCAACGGGTGAGGATGAGGGTGGAGGAGGAGCAATCCAGGTGGTGGGCACAGTATGTGCAAAGGCCCTGAAGTGGGGCCACAGTGTGGGGTATGGAAAGCCAGCATGGGTGGAGTGCAGTCAGTAAGAGGGAGATGGAGAGATGCCTGTGGCCCAGATTGAAGGGGCACATATGTTCTTATAAATCCGTGAGGAAAGAAACAGAGGGAAATAAGGTGAAACGCTGAAGGCAGATGATCTACAGGGAGGTTATAGCAGAATTTTATTTTCTTTTGTATTTGTTTACATTATTTCCAAATTCTCTACAGTAAACACATATTACTTATAACTAAAAGGGGAGGGAGAAAAACATTACAAATAAAAATCCCCTAAATCTCTGCCTTTTACTTTTTTTTTTTAAGCTTTTATTATTTATTTTGAGAGAGAGACAGCGAGCACATGGGAGGCGGGGCAGAGGCAGAGGGAGAGAGAATGTCAAGCCGACTCCATACTGAGGGTGAGCCCAAAGTGGGGCTCCATCCCAGGACCCTGAGATCATGACCTGAACCAAAATCAAGAGTAAACCGACTGAGCCACCCAGGCACCCCTAAATCTTTGCCTTTTAAAAGTCCGGAAGGAAATGTACTAAGTTCATGACCCAGATGAATTTTAATTGTCCTTTTGTGGAATTTGATCATTACTTGTGATGATGATGAATTATCAGTGGAATGGAATTATCAATGGAATTATTCAGGAATGAAGCCAGCTGTTCTTGAAGCGGGGGGGGGGGCTGCTCGATGACTTGGGTCTTGTTATAATTCTCCAGGCACAGAAGGAGGGGCGGGTTGGGGAGATACTGAGGCTTTTGAAGGCGGGAGCAGAATGTGATACTTAAGCAGAGATGCCTCTTTTGCTCGGGCAAGGCAGGCCCCTTCAGCGCCAGCCCGACCAGGCCAGGAGCCTGAGAAACAGCGGGAAAGGCAAGGAGAATCCAGGGTTCACTCCGCCTCCCTTCCGTGCCTCCGTCCACCAGGGGACGCCGCTGGCTAACGTCCTGCTCCCAGCTGCAGAGCCTTGAGCAGGCACCAGGACCCATTTGCAACTCCGTTTCCCCATCCCTGAGGTGGGCATGGCATTAATTTGGGGTAATAGGGTTTATTTAACCCCAGAGACACGTTCAATGCCCCCACATTTCTAAGATATTTTGGAAAGGTCACGGCCACCACCCTCCAACCACAATTTACCCAAGTACTAAGATCAGGCCATAGAGGAGAAACTGAGGCCCAGAAGGAGCTATGACTTGGAAGAAAGCTTCAGAGGCATCCTTCCCCCTATCGGGAGTCTGGAGGCAGCCTCAGAAACAGAGACCTGCCATGGGAGGGAGGAGAACGCTGTGCTTTGTTGCTGTTCTATAAGAGGAATAAAGTGGGGGGAGGACCCAGCAGGGGGTCCTGGGGCTAGGGAGAACAGAACCCAGAGACCCCAAGACAGAAAGTACAGTGACTTGAAGCCAGAACCGGTGCACAGGCAGCCACAAGCTAAGTCAATCTTCAGAGACAATTCCCGACACAGAACCCTGTCTTTCCTGCCCCTTACTGCTCCCCACCAGAGCTCCTGAGCCAGATTTGGGTCTGGACAAAGTTTTGGTGCTAAAAATTCTCCCATTCAAGTTTCCATTCTCTTGCATGGAGCTGCCTGGCAGATGAAGGGGAGGCGCCTGAGGGGAGTAGGTCTCCTGGGACTGACTCGCCACCCCCATGTGCGGGGCTACCCTAGAAGCACACAGCAGGCGCAAGCCTGGCACATAGTAGCTGCCCAATAAATACGTGATCAAGAGTGGAAAGATAAAGTGATGGATGTGCGTCCAGAATGACCACTGGAGAAGGTGGACAAGGGGCCTGGCGGATATCCTTTTTCCACACCGGAGGTGGAAGCCCAGGAAGGAGATCCCAAGGGCGCTGGAAGAGGCTGCCCCCAGCCCAGCCTCCCGAAGAGCTCTCTCGGCAAAGCCCACGGTCAGGCTGGACCCCAGCCAAGTGCCTCCAATTTGACCCCAAGGTCTGCCTATAACTAGAAGCCTGGTTGTCTCCCTCAATGGGGAAGGGGGGTGGAGGGGGGGAGGCAAGGCAAGGGTCACCTGGGACCTCTTTCTGGAAGGTCCACCCATCTGCCAGGAGCCATTAGGTACCAAAGGGCTCAGCCATCACATTGGCCTCATGGTCCAGGCAGGGCTTGCCCCCAGTCCTCTGGTTGTCCACGAGTAGGGCCCCAGGGTCAGCGCTGGCGTCAGGGGCCAGAAGCTCAGTGTCAGGTGACTCCGAGACCTCCGTGTCCAAAGCTCCTCCCTCCTCCTCCTCTTCTTCTGCCTCCTCCAGAGTCAGCTCCAAGTGGAATCGGTCAGGGCCCACCTGCTCGGGGCTGCTGAGACCCACAGGGCTGCGGGGGATCTTGCTCTGGTACCACTCACGGTTGTCCTCCAGCGTGTCCAGCAGGTCCTGTGCGTCTGGGTGCACCAGATCAGCCCACGTCTCCCACAGCGGGTGCACAATGTAGTCAATGAAACCCACCTGCGGGTTGATATGGGAGGGGGCGGAGCTGTGCGGTGTAAGTCACCATGGAATCTAGAACCAGTCCGGTCTCCAGGCCTTTGCCCAGCTTGTTCCCTCTGTCTGGAATGCCATTTCCCAACGCCTACTCATCCTTCAAAACACTCTTCAAACGACCCCTCCTCTAAGGACTCTCCCCGGCCCCTTCTGGACACCCCCCCCAACCACTAAATCTTTCCTTCTATCCTAGCTCTGACCCCTCAGGGCTGGATGGATGTGTCCCCCAGACTGGGAGCCCCCTCAGGGACCCCCATATCACCCAAAACAGACATTTCCCAGCTCCACCAGGGCAGATCCCTCTCCCTGCAGCCCAGAGAGAATGCGTCCCAGGCCTGACTCCACCCAGCCCGGTGCAGACCTCACCCTGAGGCCACGCCCCTTCCCTGGTCAGCTGTGGCCAAGCCAGGACTCCTGGGGTCGGCTCACCCACCATTTCCCCTCCCCTATCCCCCGTGTCTGCTGGTGGCTCAGCCCCGGGGGCCCTCAGACCTGGGACTTCTCCACTGAGGCGGTGTGCTTATCACACATGGGGCTGATCTCCAGGCCTGACTCCCGCTCCTGGTCGCCCTGCTGGAAGAACTCGGCCATGATGCGGTCCGTCCACTGGCGGTACAGCCCCAGTGGCTTGGTGGGGTTGCTGAGGTCCGCACAGTGCACCAGGTTCTGCAAGACCTGGGGAGACCACGGCTCAGGAGGGCTCTGGCCAGGCCACCCTCAGGCCTGGGAGCATCCCCAAGAGGCTGGCGCCGTGAACACACCCATCTTACGGGGGAGGGGGAGGAAACTGAGGCCGGGGAAAGAATGGCTAAGGCATAGGCGTGGGATTCTAGGTGCCTCTGTTTCTTCAAGTTTGACACACAGTCGGTGCTTCAGAAATAAAGCAAAATGAGAGCCATGGACCCCAAGGAGGCCCCGGGGCCCTCCCGGCCACACACCTGGATGCGGTCGGAGTAGTTGTCCAACAGCAGGACTCCAAGGCTTGTCACCTTCTTGGTCTCCACCATGGTCTTGAGGTCAGCCAGAAGGTTCATGTGTTTGGACATGTCTGTGGCCAGGACCTGGGGGGCAGACAAGAGAGGATAAGTATGAGGACTGCACCTGTTCCATCCCTCACTCCCCACCTTCCAGACACCACACCCACTCTGACCCTAAGCCCCCTGAACCTCAGTTTCCTCATCTGTGAAATGGGGGGCTGTAACAAGATTCACTGCAAACCCAGTTCACAAGGGGAACTGAGTCAATGGTCCCTTCTCCAAGGTTGTTGGGTTCATGGGGTACATCCCACATATGGGACAGGGCAAGGGGGAGGGAGAGTAAACTGGGGACTGAGGTGAGCTGTGCCTGATGGCAGTGGTGAGGCCCAGCAGAGGGTGCGGCCTGTGCAAAGGCCCTGGGGCTGGATTAGCTGAGGAACATAGAGGAGGCAGTTGAGGCTGCAGCGAGTGAGTGCAGTAGCAAGGAGGGCGAGGATTGCAGTGGGTCTCAGGGAGGAGTGGGGGATTTATCCAGAGGGCCACGGGAGCCGCAGGTGGATCTAAAGTCAGGAAGGACCTGCCTTGGTGCTCCCCAACCACTCCCCTGTGGCCACCACGTGGCCAAAAGGGCTGTTTTCGGCCATTTGGAAGGAAGTTCAGCTCTGAGCACAGCTGTTTAAAAGTCAGCTGGAAAAAGAAAAAATCAACTTAACTGGACCCATGCAGAGCCAGCCCACGAGTGATCTACATGCTGCCCATGGGCTTCTCTGAGAGTCAGATAAAAATCTCAAAAATTCTCCCCAAACCTCCCATCTGCCTCAGCGATGCACTCACTGGGGGTACCTATTGCCGAAGGCCCCACCTCCACCTCACCAAACTTTTAATTGCTCTTCACTCAGAGCCTTGGTTTCCTCTGAGCTATCCCCACATGCCGTTCCCTCTGTTGGGAACACTCCTCCCCCACCTCATGGCCCTCCACACCCTGCAGGCCCCACTGACTTCAGTGTTCTCTCCTGGGGAAGCCCTCCTCAACCTTGAGTATCCTCCCCCACCCCGGCTCTGTCTTCAGGTCTCTCATTATGGCTCTGCCTATGGGTCCACCTCCCTCACAGACCATGAGTCTTATAAAGGCCAGAACTCTACTGGTCATCGGCACAGGGAAAGCACACAATAGGTGTCCAATAAATGCTTGTTACATTAATGAATGAGGGCCGCCTGGCAGGCTCAGCTGGTAGAGCATGTGACTCTTGATCTCAGGGTCATGAGTTCAAGCCCCAGGTTGCGCGTGGAGCCTGCTTAATTAAAATAATAATAATAATAAAATTAATGAATTGAGGCACAAGACCCCAAAACTTAATGTTGTGTTCCGACCTGAAAAATATCAAATGGGAAGACTTAGGTTTCGAAAAAATTGTACCTGAAACCCCAGAAACAGTGTGTGAAGTGCAGCCAGGACTTAATTCTGGTGACCCTCGCCCAGGGCTTGGATGGTCATTACCCCATTTTACAGAAGAGGAAGCTCAGGTTCAGAGTGGAGTCATGCCCAGGTCCAACTGAACCCTCAGCAAGGCCAAGATCACCCCATCCCATTCCTAGCTGTGGCCTCACCATGTCGATGACCATCCTGCGCAGACTCAGCCTCTGCTTGGCGCTGAGGTTCTGGAAGATGTCGCAGTTCTCTGCCTGCAGCAGCTTGAAGCCCACGGCCAGGTGGTGGTTCTCCAGCACAGAGGCATCGTTGTACATAAGTGCAAGCTCTGAGTCTGCAGGGGAGGCAGAGAGCCTCAAGACCTGTGCACTTGCGCACTCCACCCAAAGGCGGGTTTCCCAAGCCCTCGGCCAACTCCTACTCATCTGTGGAGGCCCTGCCTCTAATGCCTTCTACTCCGTGAAGCCTTCTAGAATTCTGTCTTTCCCCCTAACCCTGCCCTGACTGCAGGGCTAAGGGCATCTGTGTTCAGCTCCGCCTCCTCGAAACTGGGGACTCCTTGAGGCCTTGGCATGGCAGGAGACAGTGCCTACTGAGTGCTGCTTGACTGAACAACTGAGTTGTCATCTTATTACTCTGAGATCGTTGAGTAAGAAGGCTCCACTCTTGCCCCCAGCTCTCCAAGGATGTATACAGGAGGCACCCAATAATTATTTGACTGAGTTCTTCAGAAATGTCAAAGGACTCTGAGCTTTAAAATCTTTGCGGCCCAGGGCAGTTCTGCCACAGTTGTTATTTTCTCATTTATTGAGCACCTACTGTGTACCTGGAACCGCTCTGAGCACCTAAGGGAGGGATGGTCTCCACCCTTTCACAAACAGGGAAACTAGGCTCAGAATAGGAGTGGGTGGGCCCGAGATGATCACATGACTGACAGGTGGTGGCAGGGCCCCGCCCCCAACTCACTGGTGTTAATGAGAAACTGGTTGGAGACCCCAGGATGGTCCACATCATGGATGGCGCTTGCAAAGATGGCAGCCAGGATTTCCAGGTCTGTGAAAACGGCCTGAGCAGGTGCGAGGCATGAGAGGTAAGGGGTGGGCTCTCTGCCACCTGCACCCACCCTGGCTGCCTCTAGCCTTAGGGTAGTACCTCGAGGGCAGGTGTGGCCAGCAGCACATGCGTGGACTGAGCCACATCAGCGGCGTGTAGGCTGTTGTGGTAGGCCACATCAGCATGATAGTGATTCTCCAACGTCAGAAGGTAGGTAACAAGTGTGTCCGCTGGGATCTGAAATCTCTTGAGCAGGTCCCGTTCCTGGTCCATCACAGGCCTCCAGTCACTATGCCTTCTCTCCTTCTGAACTCCTATCCATGCCTCAAATGCCCCCTCTTCCAGGATGCCCTCCCATCTCTCCCTCTGAATTCCCCTGGTCCCTGTCCTTCCCGTCTGGTCTATCCCAGACCTCACAAGGCTGGGGTTATCTTTGTCCAGTTGTTCCCTCCAAGACTGGGTCTCTTCAGGGCCAGGCTCAGAGCTGAGGCTTGTTGACAATGAATTTTTCAACATGAAAAATCCATCCTTCAATATGCAGCTTAAGTTATGCCATTCAGGGCTATCAGGGAGGATTTGAAAATGAGTGTCCCCGGAGGTCTTGGGGTAGGAAGATGTGAAGGAAAGAAACTCCAGTCGCCCTGTGAGGGCAGGTAGGTACCTGAAAGATGCTGAATATGATGGTTGTGAGGGGCCGGTTCCCACTTAGCTCTGCCACCTTGAACACATCAAGCCCCCACTTGTTGGTGTCTTCCAGTTCCTAGAATGTGCAGAACTGGAGCTTAACTCCAGCTCACCTTCCTCAGGCCCTGGACCCTTGACACCCCCCACCAGGCCCCAGGTCCTCCACTGAGCCCCACCTACCCAGTATATAAGCGGGCAAACTGAGGCCCAAGATAGGGCATCCAAGCAGAGCCACGACTCAAACTCAAGTCTCAGGATTCCAGTTGGGGACCCACCTTGGCCAGCTGCCCCTCCTGGTCAGTCTGGACCCCAAAGCGTGGGATGGTGGCTGCAGAGAGGCTGGCACTGTGGGGGACCCCACGCAGGCTGCTGATCTGGGACATGGGCCTTGGGGTCTCCATGGGGGTCACCCTGGGCAACTCCATCTCAGTCTGCTGGTCTGTAGACGGAGCAGGGTGGGGCTCAGGGAAACTGATTCAGAACTGCTGGGGTCATCCTGCCTAGCCTCAGGTCCTGGATCTTGCCAAGCCTCAGGACCAACCTATTTCCTTTTTACCTGGATCAAAGTAAGCTTGGAGTAAAGTCCCCATCTGGCCTATAGCTACTACCCTTCTCCTCTGTTCATGGCTGATCTCAGGGATCCCTTCTGTTTGACATTGCCCTTGGGTACCTGGGGTTCAGTATTTTTCCCCAAACAGCCAAATGTCCTTTCCATCTCCCAATCTGGAGACCTAGCTGTCTCCATGTTCTCTCCATGTACCCCCTTGGAAAACTTCTACACATGCTTCAGAACCCTAGCTTTAATGTCCTGCTCCTCCTGAAAGTTCCCTCTGTTCTTCCCTGTGGTCCATCTCTGACCCCTGGGGTTGGAGGTGTCCATGTCTGGCTCTGTCTTCCCCAGATCGAGGTCTGTAATACAAGACTTTCTTTTTCTTCCTTCTTCCTACCTCTATGATGTTGGCCAAGCAGTGACCCACCACAGCTCACCCAGGAATGTTTGGGAGATGTACTCGGACACCTGGTTGCCAGAGCGGCTGGTTTCGGACAGGTGAGTTAACTCCCGGTTCAGCATCCGCTTGAACTGCAGGGGAAGGTGAGGGCAGTGATGATGGGGGCACTGTGGGCAGAGGCAAATGATCTCGGCTATCTGATCCTCCTCACCTTGTTGGAGGCCATTTCCCCCACTGAGTGCCGTGTCTGCAGTGTCTCCAGCTGATCCAGACACCAGTCCAGCTCGTCCATTGTCTCCAAAGCCAGCTTCTGCCCAGTGTCCTCTGGGGGCCAAGCTGGTCAGGGGCTGCCTCAACCCCCCTGGGGGACCCTGTGCCCCTCATGCCTCTGTCTCTGCATCTGGACCCTGGAGCCCTTCCCAATAAGGCCATTAAGGACCCCAGAATCTGAGTGATAGATCTGTTCCCAAGTAGCTGTGTGACCATGAGCAGGTCTGTGCCCTCCCTGGGCCTTGGCCTCCCCATCTGTAATACGGGCATGGAAGACTCCATCCCCAAGGGTGTTTTGGGGATTACAATTAGCAAAGCCTAAGGATTCATGGGCGGAGTAGGTCACCATGGAGAGGAAGTTCACAGCTGTCCAGCAGTGGGAGGAGGGAATAGGAGCAGGCACGTTACCTGTAGGTGGAGGGGGCTGACTGCCAATTAGGGGGTTCTCGACTGATGCCTGCCTGCGGTAGGGATGGCCTCCGTCACTCATACAGCCCTGCCTTCAAGTCTCCCAGGCCCCGCTCCCACCCAGCATACCCCACCCCTTCCCGGCGAGTTGCGGGCCGCATTCTTTCGGGTCGGGCCCTGCCTTAGCCGGGCCCACCTTGTCTTCAGGCCCCGCCCCTCAGGCCTGGTCCCGCCCCCTCCGCCAGCCCCGCCCGTCTCTCCCGCAGGCCCCGCCCCGATGCCTGCGCTTGTCGGCCCCACCTCGCTCCGCCAGGCCCCGCCCCCGCCCCGCCCTCTGCGTACTTGGCTGCCCCGCGGCCTTGCAGGTGGGCAAGGGCTGCGACGTTGCTCCGAACTGTCCTCAGACTGGCTAGGACCTGTCGGAAGGGGCGTGATCAGCGTTGGAAAGCAGGGGTCGGCTCTGCCTGCTTGGCTCACGGGAGGAGGGGCAAAGGGTGGGCACCCACCTGGGCAAAGGGCGTCACAATCATGTCTTCTCCGTGTCTGCGGGGAGATGGGACATCAGGAAGGGCGGCCAGGAGAAGACCTCACGCTGGTTCCCATCTTCCAGCTTTTATCCATACTATGTCCTCACCTGAGCGCGTCCTCCCCTCATGACTCCTCCTTTGGGTGTTCTTTTGCTTCCCGAGCTCCCCTCACCTGTCTCTTCCCCATCTCACAAATAGGGAACCAGGGGCGGCAGAGATCTTAATAGAGGCAGGGTGGAAATTACTGTATTTCTCTTTTCATTTTGGCTACCAGGAATCTCAAATCAAGGTGTTGGTTCTGTTGCTGCTAATTGGACTTAATGTCTCCAGACTGCCACCCAACCCCAGCCTCAGCTCAAGCACAGAGAATTACTGGAAATCATTCTCCGCATGCTCGACCGCATAAGTGAGCTGTCTGGAAAACACCTACTTAAACCTCAAAGCCCAGTTCAAATGACCATTTGAAGGAGGTATGCTGAATGGAGGAATTAAGAAAGGAGGGAAGAACAGGGAGGTGTCATCCCACCAGCCTTGGACTCACAGATCGCTAGCCACAGAGGAGTTCCGGGACATGGCCTTGGGGGAGAGTTCGTAGTCACTGTCGGAACGGTACAGGAAGGACTCTCGCCTCTGGCTGTGCTGAGCAGGGGCCTGGATGACCCGGCCAAGGCCAGGCCCAGCCTGAGGGTCCAGGGTGCTTCTCCCGCACGAGAATCCATTTTCCAGGTCAAAGCTGAAGGCAGATTAGGCTTGGTCAGAGCCTCGGGTCCTGGCATGTGGATGCCTGGCTGTGGCCCACACCTGTAGTGTCACAGCCTCCCTGGGGCTTCAATGGGTTGGACAGAAGTAGCCTCCAGTTTGTCCACCTGCCCCACAGTCGCACCCCCACCCAGGGATCCTGTGCTCCTCATTCTTCTGTCTCCACATCTGTACCCCAGAGCCCTTCCCACTGGGACCAATCTGGACCCCGGGACGTGAGTTTCCGATCTGTCCCCACGTGGTTGTGTGACCATCGGTAGGTTTTGGCCTTTCCCTGGACATCAACCGCCTGGTCTCTAACATAGGCATGGTATACTCCTTCCCCGGCAGCGCTTTTCGGGAGTAACAACAGAGCACGAGCGGAGTGCCGTTGTGTACCTGTGCCGCTAAGCAGTAAACTAAGGTCTGTGTCGCATGATAAATTCATTGGGACAGCAAACAACTTCCTGGGCTTTCCTTTCTAGAGGGAGCCTGGGTCCAGCTTGGATCTAACACGCTCCAAGCCTCCCCCAGCCAGCTCGGGCCATGTTCCCGATCACCTGTCCTCACCCCCAGCTCCCAGGCCCCACGCTCATTCCATATGGCCCTGCCCCAACCTTGTCGACCATGCCCCCGGCTCAGTTGGCCTTGTCCTCAGTTTCCCCGCTCCTCTGCTTCATTTTAGGCCCAAACGCTCCACCTGTTATCCTTCCCCTAACCCTAACCTCTGCCCGCAGCACCATCCTCTCCCCAGTGCCCCCTGTTCCGGTAATCCCCAACACCCCCTCCCAGCTCTCAGCCCTGTGTCTCAGGCCACACCTGGACTGGGTAAGGGGGAACTACACCCCTATCCCTCGGGATTACAGATCAGAGAAAAAGTGGGAGGGGCCCGGGGGAAATAGAAGTTCAGGAGAGGAGTGAGTAGGAGAGAGAGGGGGGCTGTCTGTGTGGGGGTCATGGGCTTCTGAGAAGGGAGAAGGGGATAGGCAAGAGAGGCGAAGCCAGGAAGACACCGGGGACCTCCCAAGACACAGGGCTCCTGGCCAAGGGCCAGTGTTCACCTGGTCCCCCGCCAAGTGACCCCATCCCAGTCCACCCGGCGGGATCAGCACCTGCCAGAAGACTCTGAGCCGGGGATTCGGCTCAGACCGCAGTGGGGGTGGGGGATTCAACAGGATTCTGTCCAGTTCGGCTGGATTCGGTCCGGCTCCGTCACGTCCAGCCACGTTTGAGCCGATCTGGGTCTGATCACACATGTTTGGGCCTGCTCCAGATAGGTTCTGGACCAGACAGGGCCTCGCTGGGTTGGGCAGACGTAGCCTCCAGTTTGTCCACGTGCCCCACAGTCGCACCCCCACCCAGGGGACCTGTGCTCCTCATTCCTCCTTCTCCACATCTGTACCCCAGAGCCCTTCCCACTGGAACCAATCTGGACCCCCGGACATGAGTCGCGCGAAATCGGTAAGATCCGGCTACGCCCGACCCGGCTCAGGCAGGTTCGGAGGCATACGGGCATGTTCGCCTAAATCCGGCTGCGCTAGGTTTACGAGCAAGCCCGGGAGGCCCTCGGCCCGAGTCGGGCATTTTCGGCCTAGTCCGGCCTCACTCGGGTATGTTCGGACATAGTCGGCTATGTCCGGCCGCTCTCGGCCTTTTCGAATTCGGCGCTTCCAAGAGAATCCCCACACCGCTGGGGCTTCCGAGCTCCCGCTTCGTGACGTCACCCTGAGGGGCGGGTGCCTCTTAACCCTATCCTGCCCAGGCCGGGGCTCAGAGGCTAGCAAAGAGACACTCAGGAGGGCCCGCGGCAGCGGATACCCAAACCTGCCCTCGGAAGGGGAGCCCTGGGAGTGGCTACCCCCTACCCCTCTCTTGCCTCTCCCCAAAGTTTCTGGAAGAGCAAACCCCATGGATCAATAGGGAAACTGAGGCCAGGAGAGGCAACAGGGTGCTGGATTAGAATCCAAGTAATGGGTGCGGAGGGTTAAGGGCTGGGAGGGGATTTTCGCGCCGCGAGAAAAGCTGTTTTTCTTTCTGCTCTAAACTTAGCCGGGAGCGGTGGGGTCAGACCGTGGTTCCATGACGCGGGCGGCGCGGGGCGAGGTCGCCCGGACTGTGGGAACCGTGCGTCTGTCCATCGGTTGGATAGATAAACTGAGGCAAGGGGGCCTCAGAGGGACCCACCCTCCTCCAGCCTCACCTTCTGGGACCGAGGGCTCTCCCTCGACGCCCCTGAACTCTCTCCGGAACCTTCCGTAGGGACCCCTCTTCGCAGGCGTCTGGTGAGCTGGCGGCGCTCTGCGGGACCGGGGACACCCCGCCCCTCCCGGACTGAAAGGGCGCCATCAAGGACCACGGTCACGATTGCCTCCACCCTGCCAGCTGTCACTGGCCGTGTGACCTTAGTGAAGGGACCTTCAGTCCCTGAGCCGGCAGGTGCCAAATTATCAAGTGAGTGCCAATGTGGCACGAATCCAGAGCAAGGTGCCAGATACAGTCGGCGCCCACAAGCCCCACCGCCGACCCCAGCCTCGACCCCGTGCCCCACGAGGTCACAGCTTCCTGAAGGGGTCGGGATTAGAACCCAGAACGGTGGATGAAGTCTTTCTAGGACGCAACCGAGTGGGGCTGCGAGGAACCGGCGCTCAGTCAGCGCAGGTCCGCTTTCTGCGTGGGACACGCAACTCGCCCTCTTACACTGCGAACACCCTGCTTCGAAGGTCCCCAGTCAAATCAGGTCTTCCCCTGTAGACACCGAAGGCTTGGTGTTTGGCCCCCGGGCCATCTCGTTGTTGGCTCGGGGACTGACTAGGGAGCGAGAACAAGGGGAGGAGTCATTCCTCCTCCCCTCCCTCGCAGGGCGTTCAGCAGGCTAGGGTCAGGAGGAGACGTGAGCCTCAGCCCGTCCTGCTCTGGGCCACACAGCAGGAAAGGGACAGACGCTGGTCCCCCGGGCCTTTGTACAGGCAGCGGGTGGAGGAAGAGACATATAGAGAGAAAGACAGAGTCTCCAAGTACGAGAGACCGAGATAGGGCAGGGGGAGAGAGATACCGAGAAAGAGAGGGAGGGGCAGAGCGTCCCTACCCTGATTCCCGACCCGGCTCCAGCTGTCCCTGACTTTGCCCTTCCCACCTCCAGCCTAGCTGTTCTGGTGACCCCCGCCAGGCCCTCCGTCTCGCCTCACCACAGCGGATGGGCCACAGTGAAGCGCCGCTGCAGGCGGATGCTCTGGTTCACCAGGAGTTTCCTGAAGAGTCCGGGGGAGCCGCGCGGGGAGCCCCGAGGGGAGCTGGGCCCGGGGGCCGGGGCGGGCGCTGGGGGTCCCTGCATCGCCAAGACCGCGTGGAGGCTGAACCCAGCGCAGGCTGCGCGGGACCTTTTCTGGACAGCCGCGGGGGCGGGGCCCGGCGGGGAGGGGGCAGAGGGCGCACCGGCTCCTCCTCGCCGCTGGACCTCTCCATGATGCCCCTACCGGGACAAATGGGGAAACTGAGGCACTGAGCTGGCCGCAACTCTCTGCTCCCTCCCTTTGGGGGTGGCCGCGTGGGTCCCAGAACCTGGATCTTAGCCACTTCCCTCTGTCCACATGGCCCCAATTAGGGCAGCTTGTTGGGTTGACAACCTGGCGGAAGAGTGAAATGAGGAAGTCAGAAAGGGAAGTGTCCTCCATTGTGAGAGGGTCACCGAGGCACGGAGTTTGCCAAGGGGCTGCTCAGATCCCGTGCAGTGTTTCCAATACCCATCTGCCCATTTTCCATATGGAGAATATGAGGCCTGAAGCCTCCAAGGGCTGCCCCAAAACTACAAACCCTTAATCCTTTACCAGGTGGGGAAACTGAGGCATGGAGAGAGGTAGTAACAGGCACGTGGCTTTGCTCCAGGACAGCGGGTTCGAACCCAGTTCCCCCTCTCCCAGTCTCCCTCCACAAGTCCCCACATGACCCCCACCCGCTCTGACATTCCCCAGGCCCCGTCTCTGGATCCTTTCCCCTCTCTTGCTGTCTCTACTGGACAAACATCCGCACTCCACTCCCTCCAGATCTTCCGTCTGTGTAGCATCAGCTGCCTCTCCCCTGCCCCAGGAAGGACCCCAGGGGGCCTGGAATGGGAGATTCTGGGGATTTCAGGGATCTGTACTACGTGCTCTACCCTCTGAATGCTGGCGTTGGGGTGGCCCTGCCCCGTTCCACAGAAAAGGAAACCAAGTCTCACCTGAGACTTAGTGGCAGGACCTTGAATGCCCATGTCTTTTTTTTTTTTTTTTTTTTTTTTTTTTTTTTTTTTTTTGACAGAGACACAGCAAGAGAGGGAACACAGGCACGGGGAGTGGGAGAGGGAGAAGCAGGCTTCCCGCCAATCAGGGAGCCCGATGTGGGGCTTGATCCCAGGACCCTGAGATCATGACCCGAGCCGAAGGCAGATGCTTAACAACTGAGCCACCCAGGCGCCCCTTGAATGCCCATGTCTTAAGCAGAGGCAGCTGAGGCCCAGGGAGGCTGGGCCTCTCAGCTGAGGCCTCACAGAAGCTCTAAGTCCAACTGTGTCCCTGCTGGGGGATGACATTCCCTCCCCTGCCTGGGCTGTCCCAGGGGACTTCACGCATTTTGGGGTCCCTAGGCAAATGGCACCCACATTTCTGACACTCCGAGAGGAATGTGATATACAGTGGGGTGATTAGAGCTTCAGTGGAGGAACCTGAGGTGCCACAGGGAGGAGATTCTGACTCTCTCCTGACTCCCAACCATCCCATTGTCTCCATTGTACAGGTGAGAAAACGGAGGCTCAGAGAAGGGGCACACTGGGGCCCAGCAGTGCAGAGAGTCTCAAGGACCTGGCTGGGAACCCCCTTCTGCCCCCATGGCCCTGCAACCGGACACCTGGTGGGAACCAGACTCGCTGTCCCAAAGTCAAAAATACCATCTGTAGTTGCTGTGGCTGAACCTAATTATAGCCAGTCCCCAGGGGATAGAGGCTGCCAGGATCAGCCTGGTGGAGGCACTGGGGACAGGGTCAGAGGAGCCTCGATACCACCTCGGCCCCATGGGAGCGGCTTGTAAGGATCCCATGTCCCCAAGGAGAAACTGAGGCATGGAGAGATTCAGTCTCTCCCCAGAAGTCACAGACATGAAATGGAAAGCTAAGACTAAATGCATCAATACCAACTGCTTCCTACTTGCCTGGCGCTGAGCCAAGGGCAGCACATGTAACAGTCAGTTGATTTTCAGAGCAACTCTACAAAGTGGGGACTATCACGCTCATTTTGTGGATGGGGAAACTGAGGCACAGGGAGGTGGTGTTCACTTGCTCAAGGTCACACATAGCCTTGAGCGGCAGGGCCACGGTCAATCAAGCCTAGGCTGGAGGGCTCCCTAGCACGTGCCCTCTCCCAATTAATGCGTAACTGACTCTATCCCCACTGAAGTCCCAGAGACTACTCTGACATTCATGTTTTATCAAGAGTTTTAATAGTTTAATGGTTTGAAACATTAATAGATTCAACTTTAAATATTTTATTAACAGTTTTAACAGTAATGCTCTATTAATAGCTTTTGGGATGGAGAAAATGAGCCACAGAGCCAAGACTCAGCATTTGAAGCCTGGTCGGCTTGACTCTGGGAGGCCCCAAACCCAGCCAGGTAAGGGGCTGAGGCTGAAGGAGGGGTGGACAGGAGGACCCCCATCCTGACTTTGTCCCTGTGTCCTGCCTGACGAGGAAGTGCCCAGCACTCTAGTGCCCTTAGCACATCGCGGACTGGAATTCCCCCACTGAAGCATTCCTTCCTTTGGCAGACACTCTTCTCCTCTAACACCAGGTGGCCCCAGTGAGACAGGCAGTGGGTGCTGTTATGCCCATTTTACAGACAAGTAAACTGAGGTCTGGAGAGGAGAGATGACTTGTCCAAGTCCGCATGGAGAATCTATTTTTTTAAAAGATTTTATTTATTGGGCGCCTGGGTGGCTCAGTTGGTTAAGTGGCTGCCTACGGCTCAGGTCATGATCCTGGAGTCCCAGGATCGAGTCCCGCGTCGGACTCCCTGCTCAGCAGGGAGTCTGCTTCTCCCTCTGACCTTCCCCCCTCTCATGTACTCTCTCTCTCTCATTCTCTCTCTCAAATAAATAAATTAAATAAAAAGATTTTATTTATTTATTTGAGAGAGAGAGAGCGCATGAGCAGAGGGGAGGGGTAGACAGAGAGGGAGAGGGAGAAGCAGCCTCCCTGCTAAGCAGTAAGCCCGACACAGGACTGGATCCTAGGATCCTGGGATCATAACCTGAACTGAAGGCAGACGCTTAACTGACTGAGCCGCCCAGGCGCCCCCTCCCTCGCCCCCATGGAGAATCTAGACAAAGAGAGGAGAGCAGGGGCTGAGTCAAGGGTATACAGATGCTCACATGGGTCAGATCTCACCCTCCTCTGCTCCAAACACTTCCAATCGCTCCCTATTGCCCTTCCATCTCAATCCATACCTCTCTGAGGGCCTTGTGTGGCCTGACCCTTTTGAGGTCTGAGCCTCCCCACCCCCCTCCTCTTGGCTCACTCTGCCCCAGCCTCATCCCCTTCCTTACTTTTCCTTGAACCAGTCAGGTTCACTCCCACCCCATGCCCTTGCTCAAATGTTCTCCTGCTCACTCTTCATGTTTTAGATCATAGCTGGAGCATGATCCCTCCAGGAAGCCCTCCTTGACCAGCTGGGTAAATATTCTCAGAGCACCCTTCCCTCATGGGTACAATTTTACATTTCCTTGTCATGATTACTTGATCTGGATCTGCCTTGCCCACCAGGCCCTCAAAGGCAGGACCTGCGTTTGCTCACAGCTGCGCCCTCAGTGTCTGGCATGCAGTAGACGCTCAATAAATGCTTGTGAGTAAATAGAGAGTCTCCTCCTCCCTCCCTTCAGCCACAGTGATCTGTGTTGAGCTTTTCTTATACCTGATCCTCTTGAGTCTAAGGCTTTGCACATTCTGTTCATTCTACTTGGCATATCTTTCCCTTCAATCCTCCTGGCTAAATTTTCTTCATCCTTCAGGTTAAGCTTAGATGCCACCTCTTTCAAGCCATCTTTTCTCACCTCCTACTCACCCAGTGCTGGATCAGAAACCTCCTCTGGGCTCCCCTGGCACCCTGAGCTCTCCCCATCACAACACAGATCACCCTGTGCTATCTCCACCTGGTGTAAGTGTCTCCACCATGAGCCTGTCAGCACCTGCTTGCCCATTGCTGTGTCTTCAGTACAGGGCCTGGCACACAGTAGGTGCTTAATAAATGCTTGCTGAACAAGATGCTAGGATCCTCCCAGACCACATGATCTGCCTGGGGCAGTGGGGAGGACAGCCAGATCTGGGAACCAGGCTACCACAAAGAAAGTTCAAGACAAAATGTAGAAAATACAGATTCATGTTTGCATCCCACTGTCAGCACTGAGGTTCAGAGAAGCACTGTCACTTTTTCGGGACCACACAGTAGGTTGTCCTTAAACTCAGCTTCCCCAAGGGCTGAGTCCCTCCCCACACACCAGCATATATATGCACACGCACCCCTGTGAACACTCACGGGAACACAATCTCCTGCCTTCCAGAGCCACTTGGGGTCTCCCCCTAAGACAGGCGTCTTAGGAACAAGAACAAACCTGTTTGTTCTTTCTTGAAGATGGAAAATCATGAGTCACTGGGAGTGGAGGCAGGAGTAGCTGAGGGATGGGGGGGCTGGTGGGGCCAAGGGGCCTGCTGGGTCACCTGGGAACAGCTCCAAACCCTCTGAGCCATGGGGCCCATCTGTCCCAGATGTATCCCAGAGCTGCTAGGGGACCAGGCTGGAAGTGTTAGGCCAGGGTTGTTGATTAAGTAAGAAGTCTAGTGGCCCCAGGATGTCCATGGACCAAGGTGGGAGGAAATGAAAACCAAGATCCAGAGAGGAAAGGATGTCACTTGATGTCACCCAGCCTAACCTCAAACCCCAGACTCTGGATCTGGCCTAGAGTCAGGTGGCTCCCCCTCCTATCCAAGGAGGGCCTGGGGCTCCTAGATCCTGCTCCTCACTCCTCCAGTTCCTCAGCCTTCCAGCCCTGAGACTCCCAACTCTGGTTCCTCTAAGGTCCCTGTTTCCCCTCTCTGTGTTTCTTTTCTGTCTCTATCTTACTCCCCTGCCTGCCACCCTTGGTTTATATGAAAAAGGAGGAGCAGCCCTCCCCCTTTACTCCCCGCTTCTCCGTTCCATCCCTTCTGATGTGGAAAAAACATCCTGCTCCCCAAGAGGCTTCCCCAAGAGGCTTCCACTCCTCCCCAAGTGACAGGGGGCCAGACAGACCACAGAGAAGGCTCCTTCCCCAGTGCTGTGGACGGCCCCCGCCCTGGTCCTCTCATGCATCCTCCCCAAGGTGCCCTC